GGCAACCCGAAGAAATACCAATATTTGCAGTTAGTTCAGGTTCAAGAGAAAGTGAAATTAGGGGGAATTAGGTTCTTTTGCTGTTCTTTACCAGCAACTATTAGAATAGATGGAATGGATTTGTGCTGAACGCTGTGCAGTCTCTGCCAACGATGATCATATACCGTAGATAGGCCTGGAATTGCTTTGGCCGTAATCAAATAAGGCACCGTTACTGGTCCAAGTCGACTCTTTACCATAATACATCGCACGGAGACGGTTATACTCGGTGTCAGAATGAAATAAATCCGATCAATAAATCTCTCATTTTCTCATCTCATGATCAAAATGTATGCGGCGGCTGCTCCAGTTCGCGGCAAGTCTTGACGACTGGTGAAAAGTGTGCCCATTCTTGTACTTCAAAACCGCATGCGATTATATCCGTTAGCCCTTTACTATGAGGTTGGGCTCTAAGAAGCTGCTTTTTCCGCATCAGTGAATAAAACGTGCAGCAAAATTTTTAGGTTTCATGATGACGCATAATTTAAGTGACAGGAATAATTGTTCATTTAAGTGTACAAAGTGTCATCACTATTAACATCAAGGGGATAACTTATCGCCCTGCAGTAGCTGGAGATGTTAACCAAAAATTGCAAATAGGCAGCCAAAGGCTTGGCAGAAACGGTCTGGAATGTGAAATCGATAGCAATGACCTCCCAGCTCGTAAACTCTGTGTTATTCGTCATAATGGCCGCAGCATTTCAGTTCCATTTCTGCACACTAGTCGAGTAATTGACAAGAGGATACATAAGGAAAAAGCATGAACGTCTAAACAGGAGTGGGCTGTTTGATATTATACGAAGGAAATAAAGTTACAAATCGCTTTTGAGTGAAGAGCCCAGTAATAGCTTTCACATAAGATAAATAGCGCAGATAGTATCTTTTTGATCGCCTGAAATCCTTACTTCAAGTATGATAATTTGCCGTAAAATTAAAAGACAGAATTTTAGACACCGCCTGGAGATAGAAGCAGTTCTCGTCGACTGCAATAGCGGGTGAATCCTGTACATCAAAAATGCACCGCAGACGTTTAGAGCAGATGCTTCATGAAAGAATTTAGTCATCTTGTTTTCATTCAAAACTTGAGCGTGGCTGTGATAAAGAAAAAAATATTGTTGCTCAGTGGGTTCAAGATTAAAGGAAGCTTAAATGATGAACCATAGATCCCAGAATGTCAGTCTGCTGAGTTTGAGAGGGAACCCACCGTGGTACCTATGATTAATATTGATCCCGTAAGAAAGTTCAGTCTCCTTGAAACTGGAGGGCAGAATAATTACCTATAGGTTTCACCTTGTACCTGAAACCTTGGTAGTCATGACTTTTGCCACGAGAAGGTTGGCAAGCGAGACTTCAATGTTGTCAACAAATTAGTATCCAAAATCTTCTACTTACGGATTAAGAAAACTGTTTTCCTGGCTTTTGTCGAAAAACAGTCCTCTCCTTGTTTATAAACCGCTAAAACTAATTCTGACGAAATGGCAGCAAGCAGTAGTCAGTAGTCCTTTAACGTTTCCGCCTCATTTATGATATTGGCATGGAAAATAAAGAATTTTGAGCGAATACTCATGTTTACAGTTCTGTAACTATTACGGAACAAACGCTTTCCATATTATTATTTTCTTACTGAGCTACTGATGAAAATTTAGCAACAGTGTTTGTCTGGTGTAGTTCCGAATACACGTTCGGTCCGTCGCGCTGAGAAGTAGTACTGGATGACGGCATTATTTGTCAACCACCTCTCTGGTGATCGATCGTATCAGCGTCCGGATGTACCCGGGATATTCAGTTATTTTTTAACTGATGGCTACTACGCTGCATTAGAATATAAACTGGTTTGATTATTGTATAGTACAAGCATCAGAGTTCGTAAGAATCGCACAGGGCGTACCATTAAGGATGGCAAATCTCAATCAGTACTGAAGACTTGAACCGCAGCCGTTTTTGTCTGACGGATGAACCGAATCAGCGTTGCAATGGGCCTCAAACTGTCACTCTATCAGATTCGCGCTGCGATTCAACGAAGATCGTCGTAAATTCATGTATAAATGAATTTTTCAAATCGTTGAGTAATCAGCGTCCGGTCGTGCTGCCAATGCCAAAGTCCACAGAGAACGGAAAGGAGGCTTGTGAAGAATAGCGAGAAGTAACAGGCGAGGCACGGATCACCAGAAAAAGAAACTTATCGCCTGGCTGGCGCGTGCGCCTCTGCTACGAACGCCTTGTCACTCGCTAACGTTGACCAACGGTTGATGATGGCCCCCGCTATTCAGTACCTTGACGAGTGTGCAAATGCCACCGGTGTTTGTTGTTGATGATGAGGACGGGAACAATCGAGAGCTAGTCGACGACGAAAACAAGGAACGTGACGAAGATGGTGAGGCGTGCGCGTCAGCCGACGCCCGCAATACTTACTCACCGTGGCGCGTGATTATGTTGTTGCTATGCGCACGAGTGGCTAGTTTAAAGTCACATGAATAGTTCTGTTGTCAGCGGCAGCAATCTGGTTTGTTTCGGATTCGGGGGATCAGCAGGCCGCGTGGTGCTTGGCCCCTTTCTCGCTGGCAGGTTTCATGGTTTTCGGTCAAATGACCGGCCGATCGGTCTGTCGGTCGGTTGTCGTCGGAAATAAATTTTTCGCCTCGCATCTCGAGAAACGATGACAACAAGATGCAACGTTACTTTCGGCTTTAGTAGCTCTTAACCGAGCCCACGTAACGGCGAACATCTTTGCGCAACTGGAATTAAGATGTAAGTCGTCAAAACCGCTTGGTGATGCATGATGATGGGGATATCCGATATTGAATGATGGCTTATGCTGCTGATCTCAATTTGGAAACCATTCAGCCGCACGAATATGAGCGAAGGCGGCAATTCGATCATAACATTATTGGTTTACTTAATGGTTGTCTTTGTTTACCGTGGACAAAGTCGACTGTAGCGTTACGGGCACATATCGTGTCATCAATATTTGCCGCGTCCTGTCAGTTATACTCCCCAATAACTATTGGACTGGAGCCGAAAGTCATCATTCAAATCGCAGTGCTTTTCGAATTAACGAGTTTCGCAAGCTCAGGTAGCATTAATGACGTCAAACACTTCAAGTCATCAAATCACGTCATATCGACAGCTGCTGTTTTTCTAATTCGCAGTGACAACGATTCTAGTTTCGCACCGTGCCTCACGCCTCGCCAACATGAAAATCGCCGCGTTAACGTGATACGTCGGATGACCGCTATTTCTTTCGAGTGGAAAAGACTAAACATCCCTTGGGTACACTTAGTTTATTTGCTCCGTCATGAAGTAAAACAAATCAGTGACATTTTAAAGCTGAAACCGGCGAGATGATTTAAGACGATAGTTAGCGGCACAATTAAACATTCGTTCGTTCCCTTTTCCAGGACTCCTTAAAATCAGTTCCAAAGTTGCTGTGTAGTCAACATGGAGATATTTGCAGCCGTTAGCCTTGCGTTATGCAAATATTGTCAAGCAACCGAGGTCTGTTATGAGTGACAGTCCGTTGCGAGTTACCGATTGAATAACGACATTGAACATTCGAGACAAAAGCTACCTCATTTCGTCCTGCTTGGTGTTGAGTATGAAGTTTTCTTCGAAATGACAGAGATAAATGTCATCCGCCGTTCAGATGACGATAACACGAATTTACAAGTCTAAAGAAGACTTATGTGATCTTCTTCAAGCAGTAAATTCTCATTTCATCTCACTAAAACCCTGAGGTTGTCTGCAAACCCAATTCATGACTGTCTCGTTTGCTGGCGGACAATGGTCTTTCCGTTCTCCGCGAATGGACCGCTGATCATCGATCATGCAGAACTTTCTATGAACATCAATAAGTAATTGGAATATTTTTTATATCCTTCTCGATTTTGCGATTGCAGGAACATCTAAACGGCAGAGCTAAAAGGCAAACAGTTTCAATAATTTGAGAATTCTCCTCATAAACCATTTTGGCTGCGCAAGGTATCGAGAGAGATGTAGAGATATCGAGTTTAACGGGAGCAATGATTTTCGCCCCTCCGCCCTCCCCCCTTCCGCCAGGAAGATGGAATTTTTTGTTGTGTGAAATAATGCGAAAAGAACGATCAGCCACCACGGGCCCGTGAGAAATTGAGTGGAACTCTCGCTTACGCCAGTAGCTTTCCTGTTCTTTGTGGCTAATAACTCACCATTAGTTTGCAACACAAACAGGTGGGTTGCTTCAGGTCCAAAACTAATGTTAGCAAACTTTCTATGTGCACTGTCTTTAAATTTGTCCCTGTTTTCGATGTCTGAAGGAGTTGAACAGATCAACTTCCGCAGTCTGACGCTTTGTTGGACTAGTTGCTCCAAAACGCTCTCTGTCCACTGCCTTTGACGTTCAGAATTATGTGATTCCGTCACTGCAGCTGATATTTAGAATGATTCTTAGAATCGGTAATCTTCATGTCGTATCTTTCACTTCAACCAGCCAGCAGTGTGGACTTTCTTTTGCTAACAAGAAATGCTCATTGTCATGGGGGAAATCAGTGCTAGCGACCAAAAACAAATGAAAATTAGCCACAACCTCGGATAGAATCTACTTTCCCCACGCTAGAAATCCATTTTAATCTTCGAACGATAATTCTAGCGTTGTAACAGAATGAGCATATAAACGAATGTCGCTCTTCCGATTCAGAGCAGTACCAGACAACGTTGGTTTGCAGGAAACCGTTCAACGGTTACTTCAGAGTCAGAGTGGGATACTGCAATCACTTTTGACAGCACCAGGAATCTGCGTTTTTTGCTAGTATTCGATCTGGTTGATGCCCCTTGCTATTTAGAATCGTTACCAAAATTTTTGCCAAAAGTTGAGGCATGTTGAATTAAACATTCTCCGACCACATCGTTTTTTTCGGTATCTCAGTGCCTCATGGTGAAGGTTGAAATCACTTGCTTAGACAGGTGGGCGAGCTAAAGCTTTCATTTTAGGTATTTGCCGATCGACTCTGGCTGGCTTGTATATTACCGCCAAGTGTAGTAACCCGTCCATACCGGTATCGACTAAAACTAAAA